TCTAATATTACAATAATTATTGGACTAACAAAATAGAGCAAATAAATTCCTATATTTATATGCTAGAGAACTCCTTTTAAGGCAAGGAGTTTAAATCACATAAGTTCATGTAGGATTAGAACTCATCACTGGTTGAATACTTCAATACATTCTCAATTAAATAATGAAACAATCTTCTATTTAAAAATAAATACTCTTGAATCTTATCCAAAGAGTCCATCTACTTCATGTCAAAGTCTTGCAAAACAAAAACTTATCCAATTAAGACTTGGAATACAAGTCACACAACAATCTGAGATTAAAACTGTACTGTAACATGGTTGCCATTAATATCGCCCACTTTTTAGGCTTAGGATGGTGTTAAATTCAGTGTGATTATTTGGATCTCTAATTTGTGTTATACCGATCAAGCTAAAATGTTCGAATGATAGAAATTAGGAAGATCTATTTTGAGGGGACAATCGAAAATTTGATTCAAACTTTAAAAATGGGATTTCAAAATTTAGAGACAATACTAAATACAAACATAATGAAGAAAGAGAGAACACCACTGTCTCACAAATTCTTGAAGCTTGGGGGAAAGAGAATAGATAACAGAGCCCAAGCCCCAAAACTTGATTCATTACCATACTTTAGGATACCATCATAGTTCATCATCGTGAGCAGAAAACAAATAAAATAAACCCCAAGGAGTAATTCAAATGGTAACAAAGACGAATAGTAAAATTAGAAACCTTGAGTTTGAATTTTGGCAATCTTTTGGGGCAGGTCATGAGAAATTTATCCTCCATGAATACCCTAGTTGTAATATAGATGGTTTGTCTTTGACCGGACCATAAAAGAGATTAGTTGAGGTGCGCGTAAATTGGCCTAGGCACTCCTGACTGTTGAACTTAAAAAAAAAAGGAAAGTGAGAATGTTGGGCGGTCAGGGGTGTTCGAATCAATTTACGCGCACCTCAACTAATATCTTCTTTGATCCAATCAAAAATAAATCATTCACACCGGAACTAGGATATTAATGCGAAATAATTTTCTTATGGCCTGACCCCAAGGAATTATAAAAATTCAAACTCAAGACATCTAGATTTATAACTTAATCGTGTTACCACTTGAGCTACGTTTAGGATTAATGTCATACTTTCAGTTCCATTTTCGTATTATGGTTTAATTACCATAGCTTCTAATGAAATTTGTTTAAATAATAATAACAATAGGATTACTTTCAAGAACAAATAATAGTACTATCCATCCCTATGATTTGGTAGTCTATTACACATTCTCTCATTTCCAAGTCACCAATAGGAGGGCGCTTAGAACTTTTGATGATATAACTAATTTTATTCTTTTTTTTTTGAACTAGAAACAATTTATATTCTAAAAATATAAATATTTTGCACTTTCATATCTATCTATTTATATCTATATTACTAATAAAAAGAAGCTAAGTGAAATTTTTTTGATTGACTATTATATCCCGATGAGGAGGTGGATCGATTGCTCGGGGCGGGTCAATCAGGGAGGTCCAATTTTTCAAATGGTTGTCCAATACAATTTGTGCCAAGAAGAAAAGCGAGAAGTGGCAAGTCTATGTGAACTTCACGTATCTCAACAAGGCATGCCCCAAGGTTGACTATCCACTCTCAAAGGTCGACTAGCTTGTCGATGTGATCGCCAAACACAAACGTATGACCTTCATGGATGCCCGAACAGGTTATCACCAAATCCCTTTACACGAAGCCAATCAGGAGAAAACGAAATTTATCACACACCTCAAGGGATTTATTTTTCAAATTAATGACATTCGGTTTGAAATAGGCTGGCATTACATGTCAGTGCTTAATGAACAGGATATTTAAATAGCAACTTGGCACTACCATGGAAGTCTACATCGACGACATGTTGGTAAAGAGTGCACACAAAGCCGACCACCTCAGGGACCTTGGGACAACCTTCGCCGAGAGTATTAAAAAGGTTAAAACCAAATATATCCTTATGTATTTAATTATTAAATATTCAAATGATCCTTCATATACTTCTACTACCATACAAATTATTGTTCTTTATAGTGTATATTTACTTATTTCACAATTTGATGACTCTCTCTCTCTCTATCTTTCTCGTAAATTCTTTTCACCAATCATTTAGTTTGCAATACAACCATTATTTAATTCTATTTTTGTAGTCACTTCATTGCCACCTAATTTCATATTAATTCATTGATACACTTGTACATGATTGTTCAAATAATGGTATATAAAAAATCACTTTTTACTTTCAAATAATTGGACTTTTAATCCTTCCTCCAACACATACCGTAAAAGCTTCTTGTTTATTTCATTTACTTTTTGGCATTTCAAATTTTAACTTAATATTGATTAGCCGATTTGAACTTTTTTATTTCATACACATTCTCTCTTCTTTTGTAACAATCGAAACACAAAAGTTAGAAAACTCTTATAGTTGTTAAATTCTACAATTATGTGAATTATTTTCTACTTTTCTTTTTCCACCAACCAATTGATCTTACTTTTTGAGCTTGTTTTTTTTATTATGCGTATGAATGTGTATGTGTCCCTTTATTTTATGATTCTAATTAAGGTTTGTTCATTTTGATAATGAAGAAAACTCAACATTTAAAAGTGATGGATAGTGGATAACCTTTGAAGATGAGGACTTGACATGACATATGGCCAAAATTTGCATACTTGCTCACTATTTTGTGTTGATTTTGACTAGATAAATGTTGAAAGAATTTGACAAGTTTAGTGGATTTGATCAATGTAGATATAGACTCTCAAGCATATGTGATCAAGCACAAAATACAGAGAAATAATTTATCAAAACACAATAATATTGCTATCTACTAAGATGTACAAATCCTCTATACTAAGACAACATAAATTTTATATAATTATCTATTATTTTGTTTAATATAACATAACTATTAGACATGTTAGAAGATAAATTTATTTGGTTTGTTGTTAATCTTAGCCTTGCTCACTCGTCATCTCCTCAAGATACAGAGACTATAATAGTGAAGTGAAAAAAAATCTAAGCAAACTAGGAGGATGAAATAGCTTGTAGAGTCTTAAAAATCTCTTAATTTCGGTTAAAAACTCACTTTCTTTCTTAGATGATAAGAAATAAAGTAAATTGAAACAAAATATTTATTTTTTTCTTGAAAGTTTGAGGGTATCAAGCTAACTTTGATAAAAGATTAGGACTTGTTTCTCTTAGAAAAAAAAAAAACTATAATTTGCCACGTGTACACCACCTAATTATTTAACAGAAAATTTCCTTGAAATTGTCGATTGAAATTATTTCAAAATGTTAATCATAGATTCATAATGAAAGATAGAGAATATCACTCATTATCTGACGAATTCTTGAAGCTTAGGGGAAAAAAATAGATAACACAGTCCACACCCCAAAATTCATTAGCATGGTTTGGCTATGGTACCGTTGGTCATATCGTACGAAAAATTATAAATTTTTAAACTTAAGTTATAATTTTTTTGAGATATAAATTATAATTTTAAAGAGCATGATGCATCATGAAAGGTTGAAATCGATATGAGATTTTCATGATTGATCATCCATTTTTGTGTTCCATCATATCCTCTTTTTTTTTTTAAGTAATTATAATTTCTTATTTAAAAATTATAACTTTATTAGGATACTTTAGGAGACCATCCCTCCCTGCAACTGCATTAATTCTTCAACTTCTGACAAAAAAGTGAGGCCATTATCACAGTTTAACACCATCAGCATGTGAGCCCAAAACAAAACAAATAATGGGTCTTGGGCTTGTTTTCATGTTGTTGGCTAGTCCTTTTCAGGCTTGACAAGTGGACTTGGCCCAAGATCTGCAATAGAGTATCATGATCATGGTCCATGTGCCACTCAGTTTTGGGCTCAGTTTACATAGTGAATAAGACAAACAGGCACAGGCACTTTTCACTTTTAGTTAGAAGGGATAATTACTTTTCATCTCGCTATGGTTTGAAAGATTTGTACTTTTACATCTCTAACATTTCATATTATACTCATAAGCCTCTTGTAATTTTGAACCAAGGTGAAATTGTTAGATTTATCATTCAAAATAACGGAAGTGTGCTTCATTCACCCAAAACTTGTTATGGGCTTTCTTTCCCATGGTTTCCATCCAAAAGTGACATTTCTTTTCAAATAGTTTATATTCTCATACGGGTTTAATAATGGTGGTAATTTCTTTCTCATGGCTATAAGCCAAAGTGACCATCTAGAAAAAGACATGATATTGATGGAACCATTGTTTTTGAGTTCTACTTTGATACATGTTCTTTTGCAATCCGTTGAGATCCTATCCCACTTTTGCACCAAAAGTTCTCCATTTGCAAGTCTCACTATGAACAAGAACAAGAACAAGGCAGCTTTCAACATTACTGCCTTTGTAATGACAATTACATTGAACTGTCAATAGTGCATTTGTGGCAATGCAATTGAAGGCGAGTGCTTTGTGTCCAAATAAGTTGTAAAATGCATTCAATCTTGAGAGCCCGAGTGTGGGAGGTCATGCCCTGGATAGGGCTTCAGACGGTTGTTAGAGTTGATGGTAGAATGGATGGAAATGGCTATTAAAATTGGGGTGGGGTTACGAAACCCTTAGGGTGTACTTTGCGCGGTGCCACCTAAAGGGAATTAGAGAAAAAGAAAATTTTCGAGAATATTCTTTATCTATATCTATCACACAACCAAAAAACACAAATTGGGGAAGAAGAAGAAGAGGTAAATTGTCATTTAATGCTACGGTGTTGGGTTTTTCACTTTTTCAAAATCATAAGGGAGTTATGAGTATAATATAAACATTAGCGTGGCAAAGTGCAAATCTTTTCAAATCACATGAAGGCTAAAAAAATTAATTAAAATTACGCCGAAAAAGGAATATTCCAAAATGCCCCCCAACATTCTCAAGTTTACAAACTCACTCCTGAGTAGGGTTTTTTCCCTAGGGTTTATCCATCTTCCACCGTAGAAACTCTCCTACACAATGACCCTCGATTTCAGTTCTAGGGTTTTGTACTCTCATGATTCAGCATTCTAGGGTTTACGATTCGTTCGGAGACAGAGAAAGGGAGAAGTTTCTTTCAGAGGAGCTGTGAAATGGAAGCTAGAGTCGGGGTGTCCGGGAATCGAGGTGTGGTGGACGGTGGTGCGAGGAAGTTCTTGCACCGCCACCACCCCCAGGAACAGGAACAGGAACAGCAACAGCCTGTGCATCAACAGTCGCAGATGGGGACTGTGCATCAGCTTCTTGCCGGCGGTATTGCTGGAGCTTTTAGCAAGACCTGTACGGCACCTCTAGCTCGGCTCACCATTCTCTTTCAGGTTAATTTTCCATTTTTACTCTTTCTCTTCTGGCTGTCGTTAAATTCGATGAGAAAATGGTTGCACAAATACACGTAGTGAGGTAGACGTAGATGTATTCTTCTTTCTGACATGTTTCTTTGCAACTTTTGTTGCGTTTTCATTCTAGGCATTTCTTCAATGAACTTTCTTGATATTCATGTGTAAAAGGAAATTAAAAACCCACAAAATTGGAATTGGAGCTGAGACCGGTGAGCCTTCTTATTGTTTAATCATTAGAGAAAGAAATTGGTTGGAGGTCTTGAGGTTGGAAAGGGCTTTGATATTCGCTTTGGTTATGGGTGATTTTCCTGGCGCTCCATAAACAGGTAACGGAGCTCCATTCTCCATTTCCAAATAAGAATACTGTCAAAATTTTATCTTGTTGGAGTGCCTGAAACTGTTTCTGGAATACCGCTTGTCAGCCTTTATCAGATGGTAGGTCGAACTTCCAAGTTTATCATGCATATTACCTTATGCAGATATGAGCAATGGGCTTTAAATATTTTGATTTTGTTTTAATATGCTGGTTACTGTCTTTCGGGTGTATGTAGATGAAGGAACGAGAATTTGTCTATTCTTCAGTATGGCTGCCCCTCCTGCCCATTTAAAGTTTGGAGACTAATGCATAGATATGACATTTCCTTTTTTCCTCTTTTACTGAATTAAGAGGTGCCTGCTCCTCGACTTGTTGCTATTATTCCAATATATAAGGACCCAGAAGATTTGAAATTTCACCGGCACCCTTAATTGTTGGGTTCTAGTCATGGTTCAAAGTATCGGCCGAGTCCGAGTAAACTTGGCCGAGTCATATCCGTCTCGGCAGTTGCCGATCCGATAACGATACACGGTACATTAATATAACGAGATTCAACTGAATCGGTATTGACTCGGTTACAACTCGGTGGTATCGGCCCAACTCGGAACTAAATCGGTTAGACTCGGTCGAGTTGAACCAAGTCAGACCGCTATGGTGCATTTGGAAAATCCGGGCAGCAAAACCCAAAATTAAAAACAGAGCAAGGAAGAAGAAATTGGGTGAGACCAGTGTTTTGAAAAGCTCGCCTAGGCGCTCGCCTAGGCGAGAAGCGAGGCGAGGCGAGCTTATCTCGCCTGGAGGACCCCAGGCGAAGCGAACGTGAGCGAAGCGAGAAAAAAGCGAGAAAAAGCGAAAAAGCGAAGAAGCGAAAAAAGCGAAAAAGCGAAAAAGCGAACGCTTTATTATAAAAAGCGATTCTGCTTCACTTTTTTTTTTTTTTTTTTTTTTTTTTTTTCTGATTACAGGTTAGTAGTCTCTTTTATTTTTTAATCACTAATGACTTTTTTTTAGACTATTGCTGGTCTATTTTTTTTTTTTTTTCTAATAAACAATGTTTCGAACAAAACACATTCCTTTTTTTTCCTTGTGTTGCTGAATTCATTTAGAATATTTGTGGGATGTGGGAGTCAGGCGACTACACTGCATGACAATTATGATAAAAAATAAAACAGGAGTATCAGAAATGGGGGTAAATAATAAATTCTTCTACAAAGAAGTGTCTCTGACATATCTTGATTATACTTTTCCCTTTTCTTATATATATATACAAATGGTACCAAAAAGTGGTCTATGCTTATACCATGTTTAATTATTTTAGTACATGTGAAATGTGCCTCTGTTCTGCTTTTTTTTATTCAGTATATAATTACATATGAAATTGTTTACAATTGATTCTACTCATGTCATGATCATCGTGCTTATGTTTTTTTTTTTAGCTCATTCTGCTTCTATTTTTTTTTTGTTGATTCTGTTGCTGCTTCGATTTTGCTGTCCTGTGTTGCTTTTATTTTTTTTAATTGTCATTCTGCTTCTTTTTTTTTTTGTTGCTAATTCTGCTGTTGTCCTGATTCTGCTTCTTTTGTTGTCCTACCCTGTCAATATGAAAATGTATACAATTGTTAGTATTTGTTTGAATTTAAATGTTTAGGTTATGACTGTTATTAAAATTTGAGATATTATTAGTGTTTTTTTTAATTTAAATGTTTTTTGTTTTACTTGCATTTAAATATTTAGTATATATAAAATTAGAACTTAGATTGTTTAGAAGTAATTAAACTAAAATATATATATTTTTTTAACTGTTCGCTTTGCTTCGGTAAAGCGTGTCGCTTCGCTTCTCGCTTCTCGCCTAGGCGTTAGGAGCCTTGGTCGCTTCGGTTCGCTTTACGCCTTAAATAACACTGGGTGAGACTCACAGTGAGCCGACTCCAACTCAGCACAACTTGGCTGATTCACATATAATAGACCACAAATATTGAGGAAATTCTAAAAAAAAAAAAAGGAAGAGATGAAGTATAAAAAAACCCAGAAAATCAAAGAATCACCATGATCAGAAGGCCTCTTCTTCTTCTTCTTTCGGTGGAGACCCATAGCAGAAACCCTAAGTTTACAGATCAAAAAATTTTCAATCGTTCCTTACTGTTCGCTTCTTTCGGTGGAGACCCATAGCAGAAACTTTCCTTTGCTTCTCTCTCTCTCTCTCTCTCGTGATCGAGAGGCAAGGAGAAGACAACACAAACCACACACAGTGTTTATATTTTATGGGCCACTCACCCTTCGTTTGCTTTTTGTCCTTAGACATGTGTTTATATTTTATTGACCCTTACCCTTATGTATCAAAAATCTCTAATTCAATTAGTAAATTATTGGAAAAAATAATTATGAGAAAAAATAAAATTAAATTAGAACAATGACTCATTAATTTATTAATTGAACACAAAATTATTCATGTAAAATATTGAGATCCACTCATACTTGTCAAATTTATAATTTATGGATACATATTTGCTGTTTTTATTTTTATTTTTATTTTTTTAAAAATTAGATACTAGTCAGTTAAAAAAATTATAATAACATATGTTTAAAGTTTAGTGTGTTTTTAAATAAAAACATTCAACCTAAATGATGGCAAATATTTTCGGTAGCGTCCTTATAATTCATTTTTATTATGTTTAATATGTTAAATAATGTATTTTTGGGATATAATGCATGAATGATGATATTTACATATTTTTAAAATTTTTCATGATTTTTTTATATTTTTTTGGGTCTTCAATGTAGCGTTTTGAGCGTATCGGCCGATACGACGCTGCGACACCGCGACCGATGTGTTTCAGTGCCCTCCGAGTCGATGACCGATACCGCGACTTTGAACCATAGTTCTAGTTGTTTCAATATTTGTCGTTTTATTGGTGACTTTGATGCTGATATTGTTGAATAAGGGTTGAAATTATAGTCGATGCTTACCATTATCCTTTACCTGAATATAAATTTTGTAAACTCCAAGCATTGATTTTTATCCCCTTTGTAGTAATCTCTATCTGGCTTTTGGATATGCGGTATTGCAGCTCCAACTTACATTGTGTTACACTTAGATTTCAATGTTTTGTGGTTTTCTAGGTACAAGGAATGCACTCCAATGTTGCAGTGATGAGCACACCTAGCATATGGCGCGAGGCTTTGCGCATTGCTAATGAAGAAGGTTTAAGGGCATTTTGGAAAGGAAATCTTGTTACGATTATTCATCGTCTTCCTTATACTTCAGTCAACTTCTATGCCTATGAACGCTACAAAACTGTGGGTACAAAATTGCTTGTGAATTACACCTTTACATGGTTAAAGTGTGGCAATATATCATCCTTTCAACTTTCTTCTCACCACTTGTCGTTTTCTGCAGTGGTTAAAATCAATTCTACGCCCGGAGGATCACAGGAGAAGTACAAGTGCAGATATTTGCGTGCATTTTATAGGTGGTGGTTTGGCAGGAACAACAGCTGCTTCTGCCATGTATCCATTGGATCTTGTCCGGACACGCCTTGCAGCACAGGTTTAATACACATAGTCTTATGAGTTTCTACATTCACACACACCCACCCCCACATGTACGTATTTATGGAACTTATGTGGAAGCTTTACAGAATTATTGCGAAGCTACGAGCTTTCCTCATGAGTGATTAGGATAATAGGATAGCAAGAATGTGTTCCCACATTCTTTGAAATGTATCACTAGCACCCTCACGAAAAAGGGTTATTTTTGGTCCATTTGGAGAGGACAGACTCATATCAGGAGTTTACAGCTGCCAACCTTATCTACATTTATGGAAGATGTATTTGTGACATCCAAAAATACACACATGTAGGTATATGTACATATTGGTGATGAAGAAATGACTGTGCAACATGTAAGTTGTAGAAAGAGTGATTAAAATCATATGGTATTATGTTCTCATCATAAGGGATGTTTCTGGTGAGGTTCATCCTAAGGCAAGTAAGGCGTCTTTGAATTGTAGGCACACAAACATTTTTCACAAATCTTTATTTGAGTCTTTCATCACCAAGTTATTACTACAGGTGTATCATGCTTGCTAGAGATTTCTTCCTGCTATATTGTTGTTTGTGTTCTTTTATTTTGTGGCGTCTTTCGTAAATTATCTTGTTTTAACATGAATATATCATGGAGGTTTTCCATAGTTTGCTGAATTAGTGTGCTGTTGTGGCTTCTGCCTTTCACTCCTTCTGAGCTATCTGCTTGAGGTTTTGTCTTGACCTGTTAAAGTTCTAAACTTTATAGACAAATGCAATGTACTACCGTGGGATTTGGCATTCACTTCATACCATTTGCAGAGATGAAGGTTTTTTTGGCCTGTATAAAGGACTTGGAGCTACATTGCTGGTATTCTTTTTAATGTGATTCTTACCACTGTTTGTTACTCCGTTGATTTGGCTCCTTTTGCCACTGAGATTCTCTATATGATGCAGGGTGTTGGACCCAGTATAGCAATAAGCTTTTCTGTTTATGAGACCTTAAAAACTTATTGGCATTCTCAGAGGTGAGTACTCTATTGCAGATTTATTAACCAATGTATTCATATGCCAAGTCATGTCTGTTTTCTCTTTATTTGTCTTCTTAGTGTTGTATGTTTGTACTTTGTTAGGCCGGATGATTCCACTTTTGTTGTTGCTTGAGCACTCCATTGCATATTTCTTAACCAATGTATTCATATGCCAAGTCATGTCTGTTTTCTCTTTATTTGTATTCTTAGTGTTTGTATATTTGAACTTTATTAGGCCGGATGATTCCACTGTTGTTGTTGGTCTTGCTTGTGGAAGTCTTTCAGGTATTGCATCATCAACAGGTGAGTTCTGCAAGTTAGTGCCTTAAATGATCAGTTATTTCCTCTTTTTTTTTTTTGGGTTTGTCCTTGACTTGCATGTTTTATATGTAATTAGTTTTCCAGTTCAAGTTCAATTCAGCATTCTTTTTTTGCTTTGTTCTGTGTGACACTGCACAAATTATAAGGCTATTATTAGTGTTTTGGGGAGGATATAAAGAGTACAAAATCATAGTTCATGGGAAAAATAGTGGAATAGGACTAAATTTGATGTGCCCTGATGAGGTTTAATATATTTATTGTATTACTCATGCATGTACCATCAGCTCTGACTGATGAGATAACAAAAATAAAGTAAACAAACTGATGAAACCAGTTATAATTCTTAATCCAATAAATTCTTGACCTTGTCCATTATCAGATTATATCAATCTTGTTACCTCTTTTCCTCTTCCCTATTTGTTTGCAGCGACATTTCCTCTGGATCTTGTCAGGCGAAGGATGCAATTGGAAGGGGCAGCTGGGCGAGCCCGTGTCTACAACACTGGCTTACTTGGGACATTTAAGCACATATTCCACATGGAAGGCATGCGCGGCTTTTATAGAGGGATTATGCCAGAATACTACAAGGTTGTTCCGGGTGTAGGAATTGTTTTCATGACATATGAAGCTTTGAAGAAACTTCTATCAAATGAGCCTTTTAATTGAAGTTAACATTGCATCTTGATACTGCCTTTACAGTAAGTTTTGTACCTCGTCTTTTTCCAGAAATAGGTGGAAGAGAGGACCAATTTTGGTTTAGTTAGATAAAAAGGTTGGTAGAAGATTAGTTATTTTATGGGGTACTACTTGCTTAGATATTCAATGGTGGCAAATTTTGTGGTTGCTGTCGCAAACAATATTTTTCTTGATGTACAGACTATTTAATAGTGTGGTGTCACACTTCAAATGTATCCCCTTCCAACATGTTTTAAAATCTTCGATTTTCTTGGGCAATTTTAGTTGTCGCTGATTATGTCATTTCGAAGTTTTGTTGTGTTTTGTTATTGCAGCTGTTATGCTCCCTGCCTGTGCCCAAATTTTGTTACACTGGGTACCCATCCTAAATAAGTAAAAATAAATGCAGGAAAGTCCGTCTTATCGCTGCGAATTGTACAGGTAATCGTAAATGCAGGAAAGTCCGTCTTATCGCTGCGAATTGTACAGGTAATCTCAGTTTCGAGGAATACTATTTAGACTTAATCCGAGTTGGGTTCATTTATTTTATCTCGATTCCGTAGCTAATCCTAGTTAGGACAAATTTCATTTATCTTGGACATTGGGAAAGTCATATTTCCAGGTGTATAGCTTTCATTAATTTTATTTTTTATTTTTTCTCCTTGTAGACATTAAAAGTTTAATTAACAAATTAATTTTTATAATTGAGCTCAAATCAATCAGATAAATGAAATTGGGATAAACTTAAATTTCATAAGTCTAAATGATACAATTCTAAATTTAATTAAATAGGTTTGAGTTGGACTTAAATTTCACAACCCAAATAATACAAGCCCAAACATAATTAACCATCTTGTTAAATTAAAAATGGATTTAAATTCTATGAGCCCAAATTAAACAAACTTTTAAAGGTAAAATGTATTGGACTTAAATTTCATAAACTAAAGCTCACAAATTTATGGGTAGCTCATTACCTAAAACTCATATAAAGATAATTAGATAAAAGTACACTTATATAGATAATTATAACTCTTATATGGATAACTACTCCTAACACTATAAGTAGAGATTTAAGAGAGGGGCAAAAAAAGGGAGAAAAGAGAGAAGAAGCCAAGGAGAAAAGAAGATTGGCGAAGTTCTGCTCGAAGTTCACTATGCCTTGCAAGTTCGTCTTCGGGAAGAAGAACACACCGTCAATGTCCTTTTTCAAGAAATTCAAGTCGTTCAAAACAAAGACCGGTGAGGAGATTCATCAAAAGCATCATCAAATTGAAGAACGAGAGATACATTGATTTAGCACTTGTATTCATCAAATCCACCAAAGTCACCACCAATTGAAGAGCGAGAAATACGTTAATCAGGCCCTCATCTTCGCCAAATTCACCAAATTCATCATCTTCATCAAATTCACCGATAATCAGAGGACAATGCACGTGAGAAGCACATCGAAGAGAGTTAGCACTACATCTTTTACTTAAAGTCAATGAAATTGACTATTGTAACTTGACCTTATTTTGTGTTAATTTATTAGTGAAATTTGTCGTTACAAGTTTTGGCATGCCCAGTGGGACACTCTCTTCCTCTCATCTCTCAAGTTAAAAATCTAACAAGCCTGACAACAATGACAACCAAAGACATGGTGATTCCTCCCACCGACAAGTCAGCGGACCTGGTCAAGGAGTCAATACGAACAACCCAGAACAAAAGGCGGGCAAATCTCAACTGTTGCCACTGATGGAGCATCAATCTATGCAAAGCAAAATGAAGATTCTTCCAACCAAAAAGAGACAACTTGCCCTTTCTTCTATCGATTTGGAGGAAGAAAAGGACGATTATTTACCCGACACACACTCCAACACAGGCTCGAGGAATGAATCTTACTCTGAGATTTCTCCTAATAAGAAGTGGGGTGATTATTCCTCGACCTGCGATACGCCTATGCCTGTGATGGTGACGGAAGCTACTTCATCCAAAGAACATTTTCAACAACTCACTACTACGATCGAAAGATTGATCAAGGCACTTGAAGGTAATGAAATGCAAATCACCGCACTCATGAATTCACTTGAATTGCAAGAACCTTCAAAAGGAAGCAGTCACGAAACTCCAAGTCCATCTGGTACTAAAATACTAGAAAATCTAAAGTTTTTTAGAACAATAACAAAAACAAGAGCAATATGATCGAGCTGTGGCACAAAATTCCATGCAAGATTCTTCATAAATGGTTGTTGCCGCACTCTTTGTCCACAACTTTAACATATGATTGTTGATACCATTCGAGCCTAGTATGGAGGAGCTCCCCAGTCTTCGTTGGTATATGCGAAGCCATCTACTAGACGAATTGACGAGATACAAATGCCAATAGGCTACCAATCCTCAAAGTTTCAACAGTTTGATGAGAAAGGCAACCCAAAACAGCATGTTGCCCATTTCATTGAAACATGTAATAATGTTGATACCTATGGCGACTTGATGGTGAAATAATTTGTTCATTCCCTCAGAGGGGCTGTGTTTGACTGGTACACTGATCTAACAGTTGGGACTATCGACAACTCAGATCACCATGAACGGGAATTCCTTAATCGATTCTATAGCAACCGACAGACGGTAAGTCTTCTTGAACTTGCAGGAACAAAGCAAAGAAAAGACGAACCTATCATTGATTACATTGAACGTTGGAGGAATCTTGTTCTCAATTTCAAGGAACGCATTAGTGAAACCTCTTCAATTGATATGTGTGTCCAAGGGATGTATTGGGGACTACTCTATAGTCTCCAAGGAAACATGCCCCATACGTTCAAAGAACTTACAACACGAGCCCATGACTTGGAGATTCAAATTTCTAGCACGAAAGTTACTTTCTCAGTGACCCTCGTGAAAAGAAAGATGTAAAGAAAGACGAGAAGAAAGATATGAAAGCCTCCAAATCAAAAGAGTATTTGGAAATCTTTACTACATCGGTGAAGATTTTTGATAAAAAGTCAAAGACATACTTTCAAGTCAAATTTAATTAAGATCAGACTCAAAAGAAGACAAGACCAAGTTTGAAAGAACTTGAAGAGAAGAAATATTCCTTCACTGATGGTGAAGTGTCAAGATATTTTTGATCAGTTACTCGAGTTAAAACTTATCGAGCTTCCAACACCCAAACGACCAGAAGAATTGGGAATGGTTGATAATCCAAAGTATTGTAAATATCATCGGATTATTTGCCATCCCCTTGAACGATGTTTTATCTTGAAGGAAGAGATTCTTTGTTTATTGAACGAGAAAAAAATTAAGCTCGATTCTAGCGAAGAAATGACAGTTACAAATGTGACAATAGTTACTTTTGGGTCCTTCGACCCTAGACCAATTCCAAACAAAAAAGCACAATCATCACCTCCGATGCATCCTAAAGAACCATCACAACTGTTGAATTCTTCTATCTCTACAGAAGAAACACTGTCAATTAAAAGTAAGGAACTTACCATCCCTCTTCTTGAAGGAACTGTGCAAGTACAGTTCATTGTTGATGATGAAATAACAACGGTGTATGCGTACTTAGGTATGCCGAGGCATAAAAACTCCAACATCCCAATGCTTTATGAACTCATGATAGATGATCTAGATATTTGGGCATCATCATCAGAATCAGAAGACGAAATCAGGGATGATTGGTCAACCTTTGTCAGCAAAAGGATAAATACCGAACTTCGATTACTAACACAAAGTCATCTAATCTAATAGGCGACTAAGAGCTCATGTTGGGAACACCTATTTATGATTTCAAACCAAGCGGGTGGCCTTCTTTGGATGACTCTGTGGCTACTGAAGAAGATTTGGGAGAGTGGACTATGGTAAAACCTCGTAGAGTCCGTAAGCTACAATATTCATCTCCTCCAAATAATAAGCCAAAACACCCCAAAACAAAGAGGGGATCTCATTCACGCCGAAATCGAAGACGTGGAGGAAAAAAAAGAGTATCTTCCCAGCCGATAGACATTGATGATGAAGACTATAAGTTATGTTTTCGCATACCTGTAACATTGATGAAATTTTTTTTCAAGTAATTCTTTACAAGGGAATCAATGACGTCTTATGTGATTACTGCTTGTGAAGAAAAATGCATAACTGATGCTCTATTGAATAAAGATTCAGATACCAAAAATGCTTAGAAAGAGGTATCGGCAAACGAAGAAAAAATGATTGCAAGGTTCAGAGAAATTTCATCAAACCTAAGTCTTCCCAAGGCACTTGCATTACTCGAAGAAACCTGAAAAGTGTTGGTACAAGCTTTGGCCAACACAGAAAAATTTAAAAAGAAGATCTTAACTGCTACTGATCAAGTTAGTCAATCTAATTGCATGACAATAATCTCATTCACTGATGAAGATTTGCAGTTAGGATCTATTCTCCACAATAGACCCCTTTACGTGATCGGGATTATTCGAGATCATAAAATATCTTGTATCTTGATCGATTGTGGATCGGCTGTCAATATCATGAAAGCAATTTAGAATCTCTATGGATGAGTTGTCAAAAAATAAATTGACAATTCAAGGCTTTAATCAATGGGGGCAACGTGCCATTGGTATGATTCGCCTTAAGATCGAGATCGGAGAATTGGTTTTTTTTGTTATTTTTCATGTCATCGACTCCGAAACATCTTATGAGTTAGTATTGGGGCGACCTTAGTTATATGAGATGAGAGTTGTGTCATCAACACTGCACCAATGCTTTAAATATTATCATGATGGAGAAATGAGGTAAGCCATTGATGAGACCAAACTTTTCTCAACAGAAGAATCTTACTTTGCAGATGCCAAATTTACTCTTAAGGTGAGCTTATCACGGAGGCACTTCCTAGTACCATACCAAAGATCAAACTATCAAGAGAAAAACAAAAACAATTGTCAACAGATGACATCAAGCACTTGAAGAATGAACTGACCTTACCTGTAACTCATTTATCAAAACTGACTATCTCCGACCTATCACTGAAGGGGTTCACAAAACCTTCTGTTGCAGAAGAAGGAAAAGATTGTAAAGAAGGTTGGTTTGATTCTTGTGTTAAAAAACTCTTTGAAAATGCTGGTTATGATAAAGGTGAACCACGCCAACTTGGAAAACTCGATCTAGTCCTTTCAAGGGAGAAAGTTGATGAGTCGATGATAGCACAAAGGGTCGCTAAAGGAAAGACCTTTGCACAACATAAATTCGGGATAGAATATTGTCCCACTCCAATCCCGATTAAGCTAAAGAAGGCTTCATCAAATCCTATCATGATGCA